AACCACGTGGTCCTGAGCCTCGTCCAAGTCACCATTAGTCGTGTTCTACCTCCACTCCGCCCTACCCAGCGATTGGCCTTTTGTCTGTCGCACGTGTGTGGGTCACGCTGGGCCCGGCGTCTGCCGCCGCGCCTCGCCCTCTGATGCCCAATCAACGGTTCAAAGATGCGGAAAGGAACCTATGGCGGACGCAGAACTTGTTTTGGTACTATAAACCTTTACGCGCTTTGATTGTATCTATCGGAGTTTCTGGAGTAAATGCAAATGTGGCATCGGCTGCCACCTCACCGCGTATGAGAGGCACGCACGGAATACTCGTAGAAGTAGGATTTCAGGGATATTAGTATATTACCAATTTTAATTTCATATTATTCTGTGATAAATCCGGCACTCGTAAGAAGGTTACTGCGTATCTGGAAAATCCTCTCTCATAATGAGAGGGACATGTTAATGTATTCAAGCTAAAGCTACTTCTTCAATTATTGTTCTTATCTTCTGTTATTTCTATCATGGTATCAGAGCCACTTGCCTAGAGCAAGCTCTCTTCTCGTTGTTGACTCATCTGTTGCTTCTCCACCTCCGACGGTAAAAGAAAAAGCTTTCTACTACTGCTTTTCCATCGTCAGGTTATCGGTGCGATAAATTTTTCCTCCTCGGTGAATGGCAACTATCTTCTCCACTGCACCAATGTCCGTTCCCTTTTGCTGTGGCATAAATCTTTCCTCCTCGGTGAACGACAACTATCTTCTCCACTACCACTCTGCTATTCTCCTCTTAGGTAGTCACCTCCTATTCTCCTCTCTTTTTCTCCTCCTCAAATAGTAGGCTTAGAGATTTGAGAAGCGTCGCAGTCCTACTATGTAATCACCTCTAGAGCGGAGAACGCTTGACCTCATTCATCCACTTCTACAAATCTGTAGGGGGGATATACGATCTCCCTAGGTAACACAACTATCTCACACGTGATTTTCTTTTTCGTGTATTTTGCACACAAATCTTCGCATAACAACGAATATATTATTAAAAAATATTAGAGATTTTATTTTTTGTTCTTCCGTTGCACATGTAATCTCGTACCCTAGATTTCCCAACAAGACCATGAGCCAAAACTTTAAATTTATATTTAAAATAATATTTATGAATAAAATAAATAATGTGAGGAGTATTTATCGGTTCATGCACATTATTTTGGATATAAATTGATATGCATGAACTAGACTTATTATCCACTTTATTCATGAATAAAGTAGACATTATCCAAAATAATATGCATGAATATTGAATAAATATGTATATCCAAAATTTATTTAAATCGATTCAGAAAATAAAATGACATGAGAATGCATGAACCTAAAATGGTACATAAACATAGTAGACAGCCAATCATACTATTGAAGTTGCCAACCAACGAAGGTGCCAATATATATATATATATAT